TTTGAAAAAATTGGTATCGTTGCATCCCTAGTCTTATCACTACACTATCCAGCTGGATGCCTCCTAAACTGCAAGTAAGTGAAATGGTCAATGTGGGAGACGGTATAGCTCTCTGTTGGCCATTCGTCTGCGTAGTTTTGTTTAGAGCGCCGTCCCTGCGACCTGGATAAACTGTAGAAAATAGATGAATAACACATGAAAAGCCAGGTACTGTTAAACTGGTTAAGCTCAGTGTAGCTGCTTTGATTATTCTAGGAGTGTTTCTAATGTCTTTATGTTAGTATGATGCAGAGTTTAGTTTGTGCAAAGTAATAAAATGCTTAAGGTTGCTAATAAAAAGTAAAGAAACTAAACTATGTGTAAGTCAGAGGTTAATAGCTCAGATAGAGGACAGAAAGTACGGTGATATCTGGGCAAAGTTAGAAACTTCTACTTGCTGTGTCTCCAGAGTAAAATACCAGTAGGAGCCTGCAGGGATGTCTTCGGTGACAGTGACACTTTCTGACACTAGTGAGAGGTGCGAGAGGCAACCTGTGCGGGGGTGCCTCTGTCAATACACCCTGAGGCTTCAGTGCACTCCTACTGGATCGTGACTATGACAGACACGTGGCTAAGAGCTGTCTCTTATGACTTTGACTCAGAAACAGATGAGGAAGATTGCCAATTAGAACCTGTTATTACACATGAATAGACCAATACAGTTACATGCGTCTCCGCAAGTGCACAAACATGTTCACATCTGATGCAACATTAGCCTTTGCTGGTTATTTATGGATTTGGTACAGTCTTTTTAATGGGCAGCAGAAGCCTCCTTCCTCTTTCTCTGCTAATAAGCAGCAGAAAACAAGGCTGCTCCGGGGAGTCAGTCCTAATGTGAAGTCCCTACAGCTTATATGCCTGCGGAAAAACCCAAAAAGTTTATGTTCTGTATTTGAGTTACTGCAGTATAATAAGCAGAGATTGGAACATTGGTTTTATGGCATGTTTAACTGGTTTCTTTCCTGTAAATAATAGCCCTCAAAGACCTCATTCTTCCATGCTAGTACAGGGTGAACTAACACCACACTGTAAAATGACTCTGTCTAACATGCGTAACTGTGAGTTAAGTAAAAATAGGCAAGTACAAGAAAATATACTTTAAGTATAAAATAAAAAAAGCTGGCCATACTATTGAATAGTGCAGCACTTACAGATTACAAGTGCTACACTATTATCTCTTATAGCATTATATTATTATTAGTAACAATTTGATGTAAAAATGG